TGGGGAATAGGGAATAATAAAAGGGAAAATTCACAGGAAAAAAAATAATTCTATAATGAAAAAGATTCATGTTACTTTTTACTTGATGTTTTTGTTTGTTATTTTTTGTTGATGGGATTTAACGAATATTTTTATGAAAATTACACAAAAGTACAAAGTCATAATATTTTATTTGTTATTTCTTTTAGTAAAATTATTTGTTAAACATCGAAAACAATGCCAACTGAGCCTAAGCATCTCTCGATTGCTCAATGATATTTGTATTTCCACCTTATGTCTGCTGGAATTTATTATATTATTCCCATTTATAGCTCCACATTGCCACAGTGTATCCGACCCCTTGGTCTCCTGGCATTGGCATCCATCGTGGCAGCCTGGTGGCTTGTATAAACTCCATTGACTTGTGCGACAAAATTGAAAATAAAAATTTTCCGCGACATTATTAAAGTAAACATTGGGGCGAATAAGGACGAAAAAAGGGTGTGATTATGATGAGAAAAGCGATGGCAGCACAGGCACCGGCAGGAGCCAGAAGCGGAAGGAGCAGCAGTAGCTCCAGCTAGAAAGGCAGCCAAGGGGAAACCCCCAACCTAACCTATTCGATGGCCAAAAACCAGTTCCTAGCTGGCTGGCTGGCTGCCTGTATGCTGCCATGGCAGTCTTCCAATTGTGGTGGCTGTTTATGGCGTTTGCCATGTGTCTGTGTGAATTGACGTCAGTGGAAGGGACTCTCCTGGTGCTCCTGCTGCTGCTGCTGCTGCTCCTGCTGTTTGTTCGTTTTGCGCCTTTTCGCGTTTTAAAAAGTTCGCTGGCTCCCAGTGGCGCAATCAGCGCTTGGAATAAGCGAAAGGATGAGCGCAGTTTTTGGGGGAGCTGAGCCACAAAGCGTGCTTCATTATTCAGGCGCACAGCCACACCCACTGCCACACAAACACACACACATGGAGAGAGAGAGAGATCCAGCCACAGCAGGGGAGGCATGGCCATGATAACAAGGCTGCTGATGACTTCCGTTCCCTGCCTCGTTCTGCCGCCTGACTTGACTTCACTTTTGGGCCATGGCACGCCACTGACTGATGCGGATGCTGATGCCATTGCCGATGCCAATGCCAGCCAGAGCGATTGGCAGGGCACAAAAAGCCAAATCAAAAATTGAAAATAAGGTTAAGTAGCTATTACGCGCATAATGCATGGAAAGCGAAGAGTCAAGAGGCGGTGCCTGGTGGCCTGGGGCATGCCTCCCCGCCCCCCAATGCACAATTTAAATGGCAATTTAATAAACGACTTATGAGGCTCCAATTCTATGAGCATTAGCAGGATGGAGAGCGAGACGCAGGATAGACAACAGGAGGATCTTTGCTTTTGGGGCCGCGTAATTACCTAAGGAAATTTCATTAGAATTTCACGGCGCATTAGATGCTGCCACTGTCACTGCCGCCAAAAGTGGCAGAAAGTTTTCGGGGTGTGTTAATGCTTGTTCGCCTGCTCTGCCAACACTCCTCTGGAAACTGGCCAGGAGCACGCAGGACACACGCCACCAAATGGCGGCCAATTCGGGCGGAAAAACTTTAGCCAAAACTTTGCATACTTCCTGGCGCGGCGGCGGCAGCGGCAACGGCTCTGGCTCTTGGCAGTCGATTTGTATGTACAGCACTCGACTGACTCGTGGCTGCCTGCCATTTGTCTGGCGGCAGCATCATTGCTCTCTTCTGGGTTTTTGGCCCAGAGTTTGGGTCCCTCGAAAGCTGGCAATCAATCAATTGGCCAAAAGCATGAACTGGCGGCTAATTGGAGCGTCTAAAAGAGCAAAGAAATGGACAAAAGGAGCAGCTAAAGGAGCAAATAAATGGCCAAAAGACGGAGCTAAGGGAGTAAAATAAAAATGGCCAAGTGGCAATGGCCGTTGTTGTCAATTAAGCGAACATTAAGAAAGGAAAAGGCAGGAAAATACCACGAAAACTGAATGTAGTATTGGGGGCAAAACTGACAGTAAAATGAGGAGTGGAAGCGGGGGAAATCCTCAAAGAAAAAAGCCTCAAGGAAGGCAGAAAACTCTCACAAACTGATTTGAAACATGTTTAATCCGTCAATTATTCATCGACTTGCAAGGCAGTGAATAACATCTCTTAAATTCCAACCAAATTCGTTAGTTTATATCAGCCAACAGACAGAACGCATACGTCAAGTGTGACAGCGGAAAAAGTCGAGAGAGTTGCATATTTCATGGCTAATTGAGTGGCAACTTGGGAGCACTGAGAAGGAGAAGGCTTCAGCTCATAAATAATAGGAATAATGATATTGGCAGCAGGGGAGCTGGCAACTGGGAGCTGCATATGGCAGAGACTCCTATGTAAAGCCAGGACACGGGATAAAGTTAAAGGAATGCACCTGCCACACGCACACACTCTCTGTAGAGGCATCACACACACGCACAGATACAGCTACAGCTATGATTGTGCTCCCGAAACTGAAGCACGCGGATGCCGGGAACAGATACAAATGCTCCTATGGAAACGCTTAACAATAATGGCTCAATGCTGCTTCTGCTGCTGCTGCCATGGCGCCCCACTCCCTTAATGTCTGTCTCGTTTCCATCGACAACTTTGATTGCCCCTTCAAACCCCGCCATCCACATGTAGCCGCTGCATAGGGGAAGTGTGTGCCAGTTACCTCCAGGCAGCTCCTGCAACGAAACCCAAACTACATTTCTCTCTTCTCCATTCTCCGCTCCTCTACACACACACACACACACACACACACACAAAAGTCATCGACAATAATGAGATGGTAATGTTAATGAAATTTGTTGCCTAGCCAAAGGATCGCATGGGTTTTGGGGGAGCCAAAAGTTTCCATAGCCCAAAGACGCCTCAGTGAAGGGACTACACTACACTGCTAATGAAGTCATTGATAAGCACACAACAACAGAACATCAGAGGGAAGGAGCGATGGGAAAGCATCCATCTAGACACACACATATATACTTCTCCTGCTGCTACTCCCACACACTTACACACACACACACACACACACACATCTATAACCAAGAGTTGATTAGGTCATAAGAGTCATTCTCCTGCATATTTGGGCGGCTGCTGCTGCTGCTGCTGCTACGCGAGAGACAATGTCCTGGCATTACTCAACAGAAGGAGCAGGAAGAGGGCTCCAGGGGGTGGGGTTGGAGGACAATCTGCTACGACTGACTGAATGCCATTGCTGCTGCTGTGTTCTGTGTGCTGCTATTGCTATTTGTACTTGAAATCTCATTAAAGTTGAAGCACTTGTCTGCTGCTGAAGGAGAGCAGCGCTGCCTCGCACTCCAGCAAAAGGAGTGGCATGAACGGAAGCTGCTCCCGCCACTGCCACTGCTGCTGCGGCAAGGACTCTCCTCTCTCATTGCTAGTTTGTGCCCTCTACCCTTTGCCATAACGACAAAATTTAATTATACAACACAAAAGCCGAAAACGAGGCAAAAGGACGAGGCGCCAGTGACAGAGGCGGAGGCAAAAGGAGGGCAAACAACATCAACCAAAGCTGCGGCAAATTGAAATTTTTGCCTTTTGACTTCTGCCTTAGCCAAGGATCTTCGCCTAGAGAGACCCTGCTGGATCCTGGCACCCACTGGCCAAAGGATCCACACGTTTTCCTGAAGGTTCACCTACCTTCAAATATTTTCTTGCCTTTACACAGCATTCCGCATGCATGTCCTTCATTTTTCGTCCTTTTATAAAAGTGTGAATCAAAAAAGTTTAGCCACACGCCTCGCCTCCCCAATCGGCTTCTCTTGCGGTGGCATGCCCCTCTCGACACGCCCTCGCAAAGAGGCAAAGTGAGGCAGCTGGTATAATAATTGCGGTTATTTGTGCAGCAGGCCGAGGCGGAGGCTGCATGAACATCCTGCGGTCATCCTGCGGTTAACCAATTGGGCGTGGTCGAAGGAGCAGCAGGAGGGGGGGCAGGAGGATGATACGAGGCTCACACCGCCACAGAGACTGGGGACACGTCTCCAGACCGGAATCAGACCGATGGAAGGATAGATGCAGCACTTTATATGTGGCCCAAAGGAGGAGGCGGATGCTGCCTCTCGATGTGAGGAAGGAAGCACGGAAGGATGTAGAATGGATCCCTCTTGAAAGATACGAGGAATTTCTAATACCCTTCAAGAATGGGACGCCAGAGCAGCGCGCCCCCAAGAGCCAAGAGGCAGATGGATTACATTCAGAGTCGTCTAGGAGGGCAACGCCATCCTACAGGTTCCAGGACTAGGATTTTGTTGCCAGAGAAAAACTGCTGACTTGGCCAGAAGGCAGACAGTCAGGCATTGAGTCAGCCAGGAAGTGGGGCCAAAAGAAGGGCAGCAGCAGAAGCAGGTGAGCAGCCAGAGCAAAACGAGACTTCCGCCTGAGCTGCTGCCTGGGCTTTAGAGATGGATATGGGCAGAGGAGCCGCCCTACAGACAGACAGGCCACTCGACCACAAAAGCATAAGTTGCCAATTAAACTGGAATGCTTTGCTGCCCCTCTGCAGCCGTAGCAGCAGCAGCAGCCTCATCCTCTGTACTCCGTGCACCACAATCTCTTGTGTATCTCCACCCTGCGGCACTTACTCCTGCATCTCTGCCTCTGCCATCTAGAGCTTGGCATTAATTTCATAACCTGCCTTTTTATGGCCAACTACCCAAATTGGGTCAACATTGACAATGGCCAGGCGCCAGGCACCAGCAGAGGGCAGGGGCACAGGCAGTAACAACGACAGACAGGATGGGGCACTGCCACTTGGCTAGCATTCGCCATTTATTTTGTGGGGCAGCTGCCACATCCGTTTTTGCCCCACTTCTCCCACTTTTTGAGTGTAGTAATAATTATCGCTGCATCGCTGCCTCTTCGCAATTATGCAAATTTGTGGGCAAAACTAATTGTCTATGGTTCCTCTTTCCCTTTCTTTTGCCTCTTTGCTCTTTCCTCCTTCTCTTTCAATTGCATTGCCGGTGGATTACTTACTTGATCCGATTGTAAACCAGTAGCTCCGCAATGTCCCTGCCCAGTCCCGAGTATGTGGTCTCCACAAACACCAGCACCTTGGGATCGATGCGTAGACGCGCCTCTGAGCGATGATCGGGCGCTGGGGAGGCCTCTCTGACATGTTTACCCGCAGCATTGTTCATGCGGCAGTTGATAATGGGCGCCGGATGTGTGTCCCGCTGGATGAGGCTGCAAAGAAAGAGCAGAGAAGAATATTAGAGTGGGAAATCAACTGTTAGCCTGTTGGTTATTCTGTAATTCTTTATCCTTCAGTTGCTCAAACATGTGAGCAATGCAATTAGCCGACGCAGAAACAAAGCAAATCCCTTGTAACTCGCTTTCGTGACAAAGTAAAGCTGGGTGCAGGAAAAAATATGCTACAAATAAAATGAATAAATAAAGTGGCGGGCAAAAATGCTCCACATAAACCCCAAAATGCAACATTTAATGGGGGGAAAAAGCAACAAAACAGAAAATGGGATAGCTGTGCCTCTGGAGAAGTTAACGAAAAAGAAGGAGACAGCTTTTCCTCTGAAGAAGGAGCAGCAGAAGCAGAAGCAGCAGCAGCAGCAGCAGCACCCTCAGCCAGCGGCATTTATTTATTGTATTTGCTTTGTCAGGCGGAGGACAGGGAGTGTTTTGGGGAGACAGTCGCCGCACACATACACACGCACATACAGAACATGTTGTATGCCAAAAGTGAAGTAGCAATGAAGAAGCGCGAAGGAGTACTGCAGAGTGAGAGGCAGCCACAAATTGAGATACGCGACAACACGTTGCGTATGCGTAATATGCCAACAACGTTGCTGCTGCTGCCGCGCGCTGTCGTTAGCGGTGTGGCAGAGTGGCAGGTTCCTTCTACCGTTTACTGTTGCTGTTTTGCCGCAAGATAAAAGCCAAGACCAGCTGCTGTTCAACCCAAGATACAGATACACCGAATATGCATACATGTACGAGTGTATACCCGCCCCCCCTCACACATATCTTCATTTGCGTGTCCCTTAAAGGATAACAACAAAAACAACAACAATGCAGTGTGGCGTCTCTCATTAACAAACCAACGAAACGACCTGCAAAACGTGGCAGCTCCCGCTCTAATGTGAATTTGTGTGTGTCCCGAATTCGTAGTCTTTGCCACCCACTTCTCATTCCCTTTGATCGCCCGCTTTGTGGGTGTGGAATCCTGCCTCTCTCCCCTGCCATTGTGGGTCCGAACTTTTCTCATACGAGTGGAAAAGTTTTACAAGAAGACACAGAATCACCTTTGACCTGGGCAAGTTTTTGTATTTCGATTTTATCATAGTTTCACCTGCAACTTTAGCTGCTGCTGCTGCACCTTCCACTGCCACTGCCACGGCTGCCCCTGCTGCTGCCTCTCCTTTTGCTCCTTTCTTATCCATTCTGTTGCCAAAGAGCAAAGCATTTTATTATAAAGCTTATGCAATTTCCACATATCCTTGCAACTTCCTGCCGCCTAACCTTTGCGCCAACCTTTACATTACAAAAGAACCAGCAGGAGCGGCAGCAAAGAGTCCTAGCATCAAGGAGCAACATTCTGGCACTGGCAACATGTGTAAAAACCCTTTTTGGCTGAGAGCCGTAAAATTAACAAAAAACCTATTAGGCCAAGCCCCGAAATCCCAAGTAAAACGTACAAAGCTGCAGTCCAGGACATGCAGGACTGCCAGGACTCTACTCTGCTCCTTGTGCTCCTCTTTGGGTAAATGTAAATACTTTTTGCATTACAAAATCGTGCGGGGGAGCAGGCGCAGGAGCAGGAGGCAAGGACTTTCTGTGGCAGGCAAAGGGTAAAATGGACTGTGCACCCGTGGACTCGGCTTGAAGCCTCTGGCAAAACTTTTGCACTGCCAAAACAAAATATTTAGATAGCAGCAACACACAACAGTTCACCCCCCTCCCACACACAGCAGAGAAGCAGAGACACACTCGTGGCACACACACTGTAACAAATCCTAAATAGAAATAGAAAGCAAAACGGCAGGCAGCTCCCAAAAAGTTTATTCTTTTCTTTTTCGGATTTTTCGGCCCTGAATGAATGCCCTATAAACACGGCAGACAGCGAGCGGGGGAAAAGTGCAGGATATAATGTGGGAGAATGCTCTGTAAATCAAAAACATAAGCTATAAATAAAGAGCGTATAAGTTTTGCCTTAGTTTCGGAATGCAAAAGAGCACAAGAGGTGGGCCGTGAAGTGTGTGTCATGTACCCATAATAATGGTAGATTATTCGGGGGCAAAATAGGGTATTTTTAAGGTTAAACGGAGCTATCTTTCAAGGGAAACATTGGGTACTTTTGGGACTACCTTTTTGGCAGAAAGATAAGTATTATTATGCACCGAAAAAAAATTACTAGAATGTGGTTTGCTCTCACAATAATTTGATGTTACGTGTAGATGCCAGAATTGCAAACCAACCTGAGGGAAGCTGCGACACCTCTCTATTTAAATGAATTTATCCAACCACTTATTTTATTATTTATCTATCCAGTGAGAAACTGTTTCGAAATTATTCCGCATTTAAACAAAACAACAAAGTTGTTTTTCCCATCTTTTTTCCTACTATCGCGGCAGCTTTTCTCTGAGAAATCTCATCAAAGAAATGCTTCTCTACATTTTCAAATTTGTTTGTCATCCCAAAAGAAAAGGATCTTCTCCACAATTATTACACTTCAAGCTGAACTTATTCGACAAACTCCTTATATTTTGTATAGGATATTTTTGTGGCTGAGCAGCAAACGGCAAAACTTCTGATGCCTCGCGTGCCGTGACCCTTGCTGGAAGGATGATGAAGAAATTCAGTTGGGCGGCTACTCTTGTTCCTTGTTTGCATTTCGTGCAACATTTGCGGGGTGGAAACTTTGCCAAACAGGCAGTCAGCCAGTGAGGCAGTGAGGCATGCAACCTGGCCGGGGCCTCAGTTCGCTGATTTATTTGTGCACAGCACAAAATTTCCGTTTCCGTTCTGGAGTAGGAAGAGGACTCAAAGAGACGAACGAGGCAGAGGCAGGGGCAGAGGCAGAGGGGGCAAGGACTACGAACGAAGGCTTCTCCGTTGCAAAGTTTCGTCTTTTGTTGCTGCATAAATTAGGCAACAAAAAGTCAGTTTATGCATTTGCGACGTGTTATTTATGCGGGCGTGCAACAAACTTGGCCAACAGCTCACTCTCTCTCTCTCTCTGTCTAGGAAGAAAATGTTGCACAGAGTGGAAAGAGGAGCAGCATGGGGCATGACCATGAGCGTGGCATGGCCAAGGCTTATTAGCCAACGTTGAAGACATGACACGCGGGAGGCGGTTTTATTGAATCCGTGAGCGCATAAATTCGCCACAAACTCCAGCCCAAACTGGTGGGATTTTCCTAGATTTTCTTCTGCTTTTCTCGAGCATTTTCCTTTAGAGAAAAGCGGGTCAGCAATGCACGCGCTCAGACAATAAATCGTATGTAAAAATTTGTAATAAATTTGCAAAGTAGCAAATGCATGCAGTAGCAGCAGCAGCCGCTTGCCACAGAGACGCTCTTGCCACAAAACGGGGCGCATACGTAATGTAGAAGCCCTAAAAAAAAAAAAAGAATCGAGTGGCAGCCCCCAGTAGCAAATGCATAATAAAATGTGAATCTAGCACAAGGATATGGCATATAGAAAAATATGATATCTAAGGACAAAAAAAAAAAAAACCAAAAGAAAAAAAAAACAATTTTCTTGCGCCAAAAAATGAATAAAACAAATAACAAAAAATGGAGCGAAAAGAACGTACTATTACTGGGGGTGGGGGAAAACCAACTATTTGTAAGGGGGAAACCCATACCTTTTTTTAGTTGGCAAATTCTACTTTTTCTGGGGTGCAAAATGCAAATATAAAAAGCAAACGAATCCCCCCAAATTGGGGGCAAAAGAAGACAAAGCGGCGGCCACTTAAACATTTGGGCTGGGGGAGAAATGAGTAGAGAAAAGAGTCGCAAAAGGGGAGCGGAGGTTTAAAGGGAAAACTAAGCAAAGAGTGCGGAGGACTATACTAAAAAACTAAGCCACAAATTCAGTTGAAAACTTCAGCACCACCACCCAAATCGCTTGCCCGCCACAGCCGCACGTTTTCATTGGTTTATTTGGGTATTTAAAACTTTAATAAGTACTGAAACTGCTGCCGCTGCTGCAATATTGCTGCAATCCGCAATGCCCAATCTTTTGTTCCTTCGAAACAGGCATATTTGCACTCAACAGCAACGAAGAATTTCCCAGGCAACAGCCACTTAAGAACAATGGAAATCGCACAGACCGAAGCAGGCAGGCAGCAGCCGATGAAAAACACTTGAAATAAAGACTCCCGACATGCGACTCAGCGACTCAACGATTCGCCGATTGCGGTGGTCGTCGGATGGTTGCCAGGGAAATGCAGCAACAAAAGCGAAAAAAAAAAATTAATTAAATAAATCAAGCCAAGTTCAATTGAATTGCAGCCGGGAAATGAGTGGGAAAATGTCAGTGGAAAGGCCAATGGAAAAGCCGAGAGGAAAGGCAAGACAAGCAGAGGACAGGACACAGCACAGAACGCCAGAGTGTCTGCCAGGAGCAGGACCAGGACCAGGACTCTGTATTCAGGACTCTGGCAAATGAACTGTGAACTAAAGGGAGAGGGGGAGGAAAAGTCGTTGAAAATAGCCCCGCAATGGGGAGCAGGGGGGGGGGAAATGCAAAAGGCGACTGTCTGTCCGTCCGGCCGTCTGTCTGTCGTGTTTGTCCCTCTGTTTGTTTGTTTGTAATTGCATTTAAAGCAAATAAATGTAATTATTTATTGCATTTCGCAGCATTCGCCCACAGACAGCACGGAACAGCGGACACCGGACAGCGGCAGGACATCGTGGAGTCCTTGAATGGGGCAAAAGCCTTATGGACATAATTGTATTTGTGTGCAAATACGTATACGACGTACATATGTAATCAAATTTATATAAAAAACAAACAAACACACACACACACAAGAAACCAAAATGTAATGCAAAGACAGAAAGGACATCGCTCAATTTATAATCGCATTTGAAATTAAAATATTAAGTCAATTAATGCACGCGAAAATGTGAAACACACACATCACGTATACGTCCCGGGCGCCACACAATTTTCGTGCATTTAAACGGCAGGCAGTAATTTATATCGTGATTATCGCATGCGGCAGGCAGCATTTTAGTTTAGAGTTGATTTTATTTTCAGTAATAAAACACATCCACTCCACACTCCACGCGTGTATTGCATTTCCAACATCAAATTGCATTTAGCGCACTTCTCACGCAAAGCAAATAATGTCCTAAAACGCACAGAACAACCCAAAAGTGCCACAGGAGTGTTTTTTCGTGTGCCTCTGTGTGTGTGGGTGTGTGTGTGCGCGGTACTTTAGGACGTGTTTATATGGCGACAAGCATTCCATTGCCCCGTCCCATTCGCTTCGTCCGATTCCAGTGACAGGCGACAAGATAGTCCAAAGCGTTGTTTTGCTAATCGAATAAACTGTCACGAGCAATTAGCGTTTAAATGGAACAAAAAACTACTCCACAAAAGAGAGAAATAGAGTAGAGTTTGTAGTGTAAAGTTGGTAAGTGCAAATCACTTTTTCTGTAATTGTTTTTCCTGTTTTTGCCCACATATTTTCTGACATAATCTGACACTCAATTAAAATGCAGAGCTAGGAATTACATTTTACTGAAAAATGCATGCAAATTGCTGCACATTTGTTCCTTGCTGTGGTGCTGTGTGTTGTGTGTGTTGTGACAGGTTTTTGCATTACAAATCAATTATTGCACTCGTCCCAGGCGACAGGCTGGTGGCACAAGGGAAGGGGTACATATGAGTGTCAGTGTGTTGTTTCTGTCAGTTTATCCGTCTGTCACTTTCCTGTTAGCTCTCTCTCTCTGTCCGTCTGTCTGTTTTTATCTTGATTTGTATACCCTGGATATGTTGGTTGGTTGATTACAGATATTTGCAATCAAGAGAAGGAAAAATTACATAAAATATAGAATTTCATGAACTACTTCTGTCCAAAATGGCTAAAAACATACATATGTATATAAATTGACACGTATATATAAATTACGATAAGATCTTATTACTATATCAAATATATCTTTGAGAGGAACAATCCTCCTTTTAAAGCACCTCTTCCTGTTTAAAATTGTCTACTTTATGGAAGAGAATCCAACTAAACGAATCTCTTGATTTAAATACTCTTCAAGGATCAGCCGATCATTTTACTGTTGCTGTGCCAAAGTACTGAGTTAATAATCGGGTAAGCCCGAGCACTTGAGCTCTCTGCAGATACAGACACTCTTTCTACATCAGATTACTATCCAATTTATATATATATATATTCTAGGGTATTCAAACTAACGGTCCCCCTAGTTATCCTTTCAACTAATGCTCTCTTTCTGTTTTAGTCTAGCTCGTAATCCTTCTCTCTCTCTCTCTCTGTGAGTGTCTGTCCATCTGTCAGTCACTCTGCATGCAAATCACGTACGTTTGCATTTTGTCAAAATGCGTTTTGCACCTACAAAAGCAGGAGAGGAGGGGGGCAGAGGGAGGTGTAGAAACAGCAGCACCAGAAATAACAACAACAACAAATGCATTTACGGTTATGCATATGCGTGTGTGCATTTGCTCTGAGAGTGGGATGTACCCAGAGTGTGTGAGTGCTGTGTGTGTGTGTGTGTGTGCAAATAATGACAGATGGCATAAACAAACACGCAGCACATCAGAACCCATTCTCCTTTGCTCTCCCTCTCTCTCTCTCTCTCTCTCTCTCTCTCTTCGGCTGGCATCTATGGCCACAGGCGCAACCACATCCAGAAGGAAGCGGAGCAGAAGCGTCAAGCAGGAGCCGTAGCCATAGAGCCGAAAGGTAAAACACTCCAAAAAGAGGAGGAGGGTTGTGGCACGTCACTTCTTTCCGCCTTTTCGTACATAACGGACGGCTGGCCACAAGAAGCACCGGATACACAGACACTCAAATGCACACACACGCCCACATACACATACACGCATCAGGCAGCAGTCCAGTGGCATGCAACAATCATTTTGGAGTCCGGGGGCCATCTCTGAATTCATTAAAATTCACCATATTTTGACACACACACACAAACACACAGGCAGCTATAAGGATGAATTCCCCGACTCTAGAGGGATCCTTCAGTCCTTGATTGATGGTCCGTCCATCCGTAAGTTGGTTGGTTGGTCGGTCAACCACTTAGCCTCCGAACTAATGAACTTTGCCACAGTTTTTGGAGTCCGTAAATTAAATTCCAAAGTGCAAGCCAAAGCCCAAAAGTAAATATTTAATAATCAACTTGGAAATTTCAGAGTGAAATGTAAAGAACATTTGCCTTGCATCCTTTGCAGCGCGATAGTTGTAGTGCTGTTTTGGCGTGTGGCATGGAAAAACAAAGGACTACAAGCTGCAGCACCTGCAGGCTAACCTGCCCCCAAAAGCAGTTCCTTCTACGGTTCCATGGCTCCATGGCTCCGCTCCTCCATCCACTCCATCCTCACGGCTTCTGGTTCTGCTGATGAAAGTAATCAAAAAAAATAAACTTTCGCCCCCCGTTTGTTTGTGCAACTGCAGGCGGGTGGGGCGTGCGCCACCATCACCGGAAACCGTTTGCTCGTTGGGAAATGTGTTTGTAAACCATAATTGCGCGCAAAAGTAGCCAACAGCAAAAGGTAAGGCATGCCCCTAGCTCCTCCTTTTGGTTCTTCCTCTCAGCTTTTCGTCTGCTGGAAAAATTTCATGCGAAAAATTTAAAGTATAAAAGAAAATTGTACCAACTCTCACAATAATCACCGAAAAGCGCACACAAACACACACACATATATATCCCAGGGAAAACTACGAGCAGAAGCGCACACAATTATGAGCAATATTTTCCCACATTCCGCTCTCCCCCCCTCTACCCTCATTCGAGTGCCACTTTAGCGCCGAAGGAAATGCCATGGCGCCACACCGAAATGAGTTTTATTTTCGAGTATGTCATGGAGCAGCAGCAAAAGGGAAGCCAGCCCACTCCAAAAAAAGGAAACCCCACCTGAGACCAGAGCCAGGGGTTTTGCCTCTGAGCCACAGAAAAAGGTGTTGAACCAAAGCAACTCAAGCAAAAGTGTGGCGTGTGGCACACGATGTGTTCTCAATAAAAGTGGTACTGTGGGGGGAGGTAGTGTGTGTGTGTGTGTTTTGCTGCAACTTGTCGAACGATAGAAAATTCGCTCCTTTTTTTGTCGCAAGCCATACAAAAATCTGTTGATGCTTTTCCACGCCGATTTTCGCAGGTGAAAAACTTTGAGAGCGGCACTAAAACATTGAAAAACTTTTAAGAGAGAGCAAAAGAAGCGCACAGCAGGCATTACAATTTTTGATGGTGCAAGGAAAATGGCAGAGAAGTTTTAGGAGGGAACTTTAATTTTGAAAAGGCTTTTAAATCATTATATGTAGGTGGGTATGTATATATTTTCCGGCTAAGAAACGAAATTCCAATTTAATCTCTTACTGCTATCTCCTCATTTTCCATAGCATCCGATTTGACTCATTTTAATTTAATTTTCTGCATATTTTCAGCAGTATGCCACGTGCCTTGCCCTTCCCCTGTAAATCCACTTGAAAATGAACAACCAACAGAAAAGAAAAAAAGCAGGATAGGTATCCAATCAAACAGGGAACAGAGAGCACAACATAAAACTCCTCTGCTTCTGCTGCTGCTGCTACTGCCCCACAACAAACAATGGGGCATGCGGCAAGAGGTGGGAGGAGGAGGAGACAACAACAGACATCAAGTGCATTTTCACCACTTGAGCAAACAATGAAAATTCGCTGGAAATTGCCCCAAAACTAAAAAAAAATAAAAATAAAAAAGTAGAGTCCCTCTCTTTCACGTGCTTTCATTTTGTTGTGGTTTTTGGCTGTGGTTGTTGTTGTTGTAGTACTCACCCATTAAATACGCCCGTATCGAAATAATGCGTGTAGTAGAAAATGCTAACCATCGTGATGGCAAACAGGGCCAAAACACATCGTCGCACATTGAAGCCAAAGCATCGACGTGCAATTAAATTACAACAATGGCAAATGCATCCCATAGAATACGAGGAGGAGCCACTACCTGCTCCACCTGCCCCTTGGTGGCAGTTGCTGCTACTGCTGCTGCTGTTGGCGATACCTATTGACGTTGATGATGAGGTGCAGGAGTTGCTGTGGCCATTTCCATTCGCATTCGATTTCAGCTTGTACGTGACAATGCTGGCGGCATCACTTGTATCCTCCAAAGGCAATAGCAACGTGCGATCTGTGGTTGTTCCAGTACCAGTGCCCGTGCCGGTGCCCGTGGCAATGGCATGTCCATTGCCAAAATGCTTATTGAAATTGCCATCCGCACTGGCACTTCCATTGGCTTCCGTTTCCGCATACGCATCCTGCATCGGCAACTGCATCTGTGGCTTGTTAATGAGTTTTTCATATTTGTTGCGATTTGTTGCATGATGTATATTCGTGGTTGCACCTCTAGCTGTAGTCTCTCCAGATGATATTGTCATATTGTTGCTGGGGAGGGAGGGGGTGTGTACTATATATATAGCTTTTGTATAGCTTTTGCTGCTGCTGCTGCTGTCAATCGGTGGTTCTATCTACGAGTAAATGTATCTCAATCACTGTTTGTCTTTCTCTCTCTCTCTCTCTCTATTGCTCTCTCGCTATAATTGGCAGCGTTTTCTTTCTTCGAGGATATGTATGTCTCGTCTCGTGTTTCTGTGTATATAAGTTCTCAAATATGGCACTGGCGTTTTTTCTTGCGTTTCTTTGCTTTTCCAAACAAATAATGTATTTTCCTATATGTTTATATATTTTCTATCTCTCCGTAGTTTGCCCAGTAGATACATCTATTAGATCTGTGTTATTGTATATTTTTTGTTCGCATCGATTACTTTTCACTTTCGCCATTTGATATGTTTCCAAATTTTCAAATACTCATTTTGTGGCATGGCCATTGTGTGGCATATGGCATGGGGTGGCAGCTCTTTTTGTTGTTTTGCGGGCAGTCGTCGAATGGCATCATTATCAGTCATAGAGGGACCCTGTTCTAGTTTTCACACACAATCAGACATTGACTGCCGTTGCCGCTTCTTCCAGTCTTCCAGTGGGTTCCAGTCTGGGCTTCCGTGGGTCGCGCGCTCGTCTTATCTGCAATCCGTAAAGAAATAGAAAAACATTATAAATAAATAATTGTCTTTCGGTTTTGTAAACATTCTACAATAAATGTCCCAATAACAGGGAAGGGCCCTCATTTTCTTATTGACTTTTCATTAGTGGGGCAAAAGAGATATACATATACATATAGATATAGATATAGATATCGATATAGAAAGGTAGGTAGGGGTAGTCCGAGTAAATATTTGGGGCAATGTAATCTAACTTCTGTTTGTTAGACCATTCGAGTGGACAGACACTCAATTCTATTCAGCGATTCATGTGGCAACCGACAGCGAATGTCGTTCCTTGCATTCAAATTCAGAAACTTTCCTTTCCTTTAAAATAAAATACCCAAAACTAACGAAAACCTATTGCCAAAAGGCTGTACAAATTCTGAACTGAAATTCAGAATTATGCTGCGGGGGAAACTCGCTACAAAAAATGTAATCCATTCCAAAATCCATTTGGTTTTTGGTTAAATTACAAAAGTAAGAACGAAAACCCCCATAAATTGAGATTCCAATTGCCAACATTACGATGTCTATAAATTTTAGTTGTATCTCCCTACGACTCCAATTTCAATATAAATAAATTCCCATTATCACCTGTGGGGTGGCCATGTGGCAACCTCTGCTTATCAGCTCTTTTTTTAATGGAGAGTGCGTGTGTGTGTGTGTGTGTGTGGGTGCCACAAGCCGAATCGATAATCGCTATCACAACTAATTGATGATGACACTTGTTTGTGCAACATTCAATTTCGAATTGAAATTTAAACATTGTTGAATTCTTGGATGTGTATCTTTGAGATACAGAACCCAGAGCCCAGAGGCAGGACCCAGAGGCAGAACCCAGAGGCAGAACTCAGAGGCAGTACCCAGAGCCTCGAGCCAAATATGGACAACAGACGGATATTTCGTCAGTATGTTTGTCCGAACATCTCGAATGGAATGCAAACAGAACGGCTGCTCCGCAAATAAAGCGACAAATTGTCAATGCCGCAAATGGCAAATGGGAAATCATACACACGGCTCTGAAGATACAAATGTATCTGAGCAAGGGTCTATCTGTACATCTATGTATCTGACTGGGTGTGCGTGTGTGTGTGTTTTTAGCCATTAACAGCATATGCCTGCCGCAGTTTACAGAGGTCTTAATGGCCTCAGAGATGGCAGATAGAACCCTCACGTATTTCAGGGCTCTGGGGTTTCGGTTCCGGGGTTTAATTGGAAATGCCCTGGCTGTTGCGGCTGTCAACCAAAAAATAAAGACAACATACTTCTGGCCTCTTTATGGGCCAACAAAATGAGTCAATAATGAGTTTTAGATGGCCTCCCCCTCCCCGCCGGAAAAAAACACACACAATGTTTGTCATGATGTTATGTCCTCGATAAACATATACTGGGGTACATACGTATGTGTTGGAGATAACAAAAGAGAGAGAGAGGGAGAATGAGAGAGACAGGACGATAAATACTTGTGCACTTTGAATGTTTGAAACTTTATTCCGAATATTGAAAGAAGAATGAAAAGAACTTGCAGGAGTTTCCCACCGATTGATCTTATGGATTTCTCAACCCTAAACATATAAAAAGCGTAGCTTCATGGGGGATATCCACATTTAAACCTAACCTATCCCCTTAGCATTTATATTCCAAATGATGAAAGATGCTGTCGATGCTGAAAGTATCTTTAAAGCCTCTCCGGTAACCCTTTAGAAAGAATGAATTCTCCAATTCATTGATCAATTTCACATCCTTAAACTTTCAAGAAATCACAGAGAACGAGTTAGAGAGATAGAGCGAGTGTAAAAACTCATATAAATCGAAGTTGCTTTCACTTCAAGCATACTTTTATCAATTTTCCAACCAAACCCTACATCTTCTTCGCCCCCAACCGTCCTACCCTGCTCGTAAATCCCACTCTTCAGTTCGAACTTCATTTCAGTCGAAAGTCACTTCATAAGCAACTCTCGCCGCAGCACTTCCTCATTTTTGCTCCCCTTTCCAATCTTGAGAAACACTTGGAGCAATTTATAAACTGAATTCTTCGTCCATCAGTGGAGGAGGAAGAGTAGCAGCGGCAGCAGCAGCAGCCACACACAGCACGAGGAATGAAAAACAATGGAAGGGGAAAGGAAGGTACGAGAGGGAGGGAGAGTGTCCTTCTGCCCTTGTTTTTCTCTGCATGTTACAAATTTATCATTAAAATGTCAAAACTTAAATTGATTCAAAAAGTTTAGCAGCAGCAGCAGTGACAATGCCGCCGCTCTCTTCCAGCCGCACGCTCTGTGACCCCCGCAGCAGCAGCAGCAGCAACAGCAGCAGATTCCGGCTTCTGCAGAAAGCAAAAAAAAAAGAAAAGAAAGAAAAGTTTACTGTTCTTGGAAAAGCTTTTCCCGCTGCTGCTGCTGTTGCTGCCCGTGCGGCTGCTGCATACTTTAAGGCGCGCTGCTTGGAAAAAACTTTGTGCGTTTTCTTCGTTAGGCAAACTTGTTTAATTTCCTCTTCAATTGCCCAAGAAACCAAGCGAGACACAATCCAAAAGTTGGACCTGCACCTCTCTGCTGCTGCTCCACAATCCTCAGCGCTGGAGCTTCATTTGTTTTCTTGTGATTTTCTTTTTGTACTCTTCACGAAATGCGTACTATGATTTGGCGGAGAAAGGTTTGGCGACTCTTTAGAGATAGAAGGTGGATAGCTAGGTGATTACACTAGTCAACACGATTTTTCCTCAAGGAACAAAACGAACTTTTTCTTAAAGATTTGGGGCTTAGAAATGGTTTGATTATATTTTTTTTTCTATGGCAGAACTTTTTTTAAAGAATTTTTGAAAACTGGTATTTTTTTTAAAGCTTTTTTCAGAGGTAACGCTTGTTTTTTCACATAACTCTAGTATCTTACGTCTGGTTGTAAAGAACTTTGCTATTTTGAAAAGATAATTGACGCAGCTAGAAGTTGATGCCAAACACTTTGTGATTTCAGCTTACCGTCTGGGAAATATAAAGCATTGAAATGCAAAAATTATGATTTTTGTGGGTATTTTTACGAAATTTTGACTTTAAAAACTCAGAAAAGTCGAAAAAAAATTATATCTTGTGCCCTTTTTTGTGTATAGGTGCGAATTGGCGTCGTTAGTATCGCTCATTAAAATCTATGGAGAGCGGAGCTAAAATCGTTAACCAAACCTAAAATATGGAAAAAATGAACAAAAAATACCTTTTTGAAGGCGGCGGGCCCAACTGCCAATTGGGAACAAAGGAACGCGATCAGGTACCAAATGTACAACCCTTGTTCGTTTGCTTTGTTCCGATTGGCAGTTGCGCCGCCCAGTTTTTGTTCATTTTTTCCATATTTTAGGTTTGGTTAACGAATTTTAGCTCCAATCTCCATAGATTTTAATGGCGTACTAAACGACGCCAAATTAACGCCCATACACAAAAAATAAGACACAAGTATAATTTTTTTCGACTTTTCTGAGTTTTCAAAGTCAAAATTTCGTAAAAAATACCCCACAAAAATCATCATTTTTGCATTTCAATGCTTTATATTTCCCAGACGGTAAGCTGTAATCACAAAGTGTTTGGGCTTAACTTCTAGCTGTTTTAATTACCTTTTCAAAATAGCAAAGTTCTGTACAACCAGACGTAAGATATTAAAGTTATGTGAAAAAACTATCGCTACCTCTGAAAAAAGCTTAAAAAAAAATACCAGACTTAAAAATTCTTCAAAAAAAAGTTCGCATGAAAAAAAACCATAATTCTTTAAAAAATTTTAAAGCCCCATATCTATCAGAAAAAGTCGGTTTGGATCCTTGAGGAAAAAAAAAGTTCGGTTTTGTCGAGTAGTGTTATCAAAGGATAAGCATCAAAAGGAACATCTGTTTCTGAGTGATTTATAAGCAAACATAAACATCTCCACAGATACCACACAGAACGCTTGGCTTTTTGGTTTTAATATCAAGTAAAACCTTCTTCTTTCCAAAGATAATCCACTTGCACATCAAAAAAATTATAGTTTCCAAGCCATTTAGATAATTTAGACCAACATATAATCCATATTACTGCACAGCATTCAGCATTCTTTCAGCGCCAAGAGTATCTTCAGCTTTGACTCACAAATACCCCTTTTCAATTGCTGCTCACCTTAATGGTTTTTCTTAACTTTCTCATTCCATTGTTGGATTTGTTTGCTGGTGATTTGCCTGTCGTCAGTCTCAAGTGCATCCAGCTACCTTTTTCTTATACTTTACTTAGGGAATCATCATTTCCCATCCATATCACATATCCCCCATGTCTCCAAACAGTTTATTCGAATTAAACTCTCGAAAGTTCTGTTCTGTTTACTTGAAATTCTTTTCTCTGTTTTTGGGTGAGGCGAAAAGTTTTTCACACTTCTTCCTTAAATGCATTTTTCTGGTGGTGGGGTGGAAAATGGTTTTAAAAACTATTTATTTTACGATACATTTTGTTTACATTTGGGTAGGGTAGCGGAGACTCCCTTCAGCATATTTCTTTCTCTCTAAATTGCATTGAGAACGGGAGCAGGGGGGCGTCGCGTTGAAGGGCACCCCTGAGATGCCTGCCACACTCCACGCTGCGCCCTATTCTGCGGCTGCTGCATGCAGCGCCCCTGCTGTTTGGCGCTCTTTTGCCTGCCTTTTGTGTGTTGGCCATTTATCAGTCAGCCCGCAATGTTTTGTTGTTGCTTTGCCTAGAGTACCCTACGATTTGTAGGGTATTCCGATTGAGGGTATGTTGTGTGTGTGGAGAGGTATGTAACGGGGAAAAGAAAGCCTTTCAGATGCCTTAACAGCAATAAAAGAACCAATATCAATATTTTTTCGTGTATTTTTGTATTTTCCTTTGCTTTAAAATATTTCCCAATTAATGGGCCTCCTCTAGTCCAAATCTTCTGTAAAGTGGTTTTCTATACTTTTGTTTTTTCTGCTCCTGCTGCTGCTGCTACCACTGCCGTATGTTTGTCTTCTCTTCT